GCTCAGGGGCTCCCAGCGGCGGCCGAGCACCATCCTGCGATGGGCGACACGGCTCCAGCAGCACAGCAACCCGGCGAGGAAAAGGCTGGAGTCCGGCTCAGCTCACAGGGCTGCTCAGAGACCAAACCTTCATGGACGGAGGCACTGGGGAAGGCAGTGGGAGAGTCATCTCCCAGGACAAACATCCCTGGCGATGCAGCAGTAAGAAGCGTCCTGGTGCAGTAATTTTTGGGCACTTGTGTTTCTAGGCCTTCTGCACGACAGGGCACCTGAGTCGAGTGGGCGCAGGGACGGGACTCCAATAAAAACTGATCCTTGCAATACTGCAGGAACACGTATCACACGGGTGGCGTGGAGACCTGGACTCAGCCACCCCACCATTTCACCCGGTGAGATGTGGCTGGCACACAGAGAAGAGCTTCAGAAAGCTTCAGAAAAAAGCACTGGAGGAGAGGCGGCCACAGAACCTCCAGCCTAACGAGGCTGCTGAACACGAGTGGCCATCCACAAGTACCCAAGGACTGCGTCAGCTAGGCACTCACAGGAGGAAGTGTTACAGGGAGCAGGACATCTGCAGGCAGCAGTCACATCTAATTTTCTGCAGATTTAGCAGAGATGACCCTTTCAGAGCTCCTCGGGAATTCACAAGGGGTGCTGTCTCAGGGACCAAAGCTCTGGTTTTTCTCACCGTGCGTACATTCTGGTGCTCAGCGTGGTTAGCTGGGCTCCAGCATGCATTTCACCACATGCCCTCAGCCTGCAGTGATCACACACCCCTCACTCCGTGAGCAACTCTGTCGGAGCATTTCTCTATCAGCTGACTGTAAGGAGGGGTAAATATTCTTCCCAATTGTCTCCTGTAGGTGAAGCTCAGCCATGCCGTTACATACCTTCTACTTTATCCAGCCTCTCCTATACCAAGGAGTTCTGTGCTGGGCATTGTCCTGTGGTCCACCGTATCCAAATAGCTAATTAGAGCTGGAGCACTAGTGACTATTTACTACTACTGCTCTATGTGCTGGAAACCAAGGGAATGCAGTGATCTATACTAAAAGCTCTTAACTGATTGTTCAGTGTTCCATGTTTTAAAAATTTAGATCTGAAGTTGCTTTATCCCCTTTAGAACCAATGAGAAAAAATATTTGCAACAAAAATGCAACTGAAAACACCATTAATTTGTGCTTTGAAAGAGGCTATGCCCACAGTAGCTTTCCCTTTTTTGCGATTTTAGCCATGCTTGGGCCCTTCTAAACAGCCATAAAATTAATTTATACTTTGTCTATATCAATAAAACGAGAAGTGGCAGCTCTGGATGTAAAACAAGGTTCTATCTATGACGACTCCATACACGTTCTCACTAAGCCCCTAAGTCCGTCAAACGTGATGGACAACAATATCTAAAAATAAGCACTTCTAACAAAATCATGCAAGTCGCTTACCAGTTTTTAAATTAATAGCAGCTCCATAAACTTTACTTTTCGATGAAGAATAAATACCAGGGGAAACTTTCATCCATTCCCTATTTACTTCAGCTTAGCGCTGTCTTCAGAACAACATCAAGAGAGGGAAGTCCACATTCAAAAAAACAAAGATCAGCACACTAAGAGCCTATTTTCATTCTTTGTATTAGGAGGAAGTCGGGTCTACCTGAACAGCTCTTTTCTAGATAGGGGCCATCTGAATACTGTTAATTTTCAAAAGCACTTACAGTTTCATCTCAGTAGTAGGTTTTGATTACGTTTAGAACAGAGAAAAGCAGCCGGAGAACACCATAGCTATAACATCGTGAAAGCCTGAAAATGCCCTTTTCTGCCTTTGCCTTTCTTCCAGTGCAGGTACAATAAACAAAGACATGGAGAAAGTGCTAAGGGAAGGGTGGATCAGACACCCTCTTCATCATCCCATCCTGAGAACAGTCCAACATTCAAATTAGTGTATTTCAAAGGCCTAATCGAGTTAATAAATCAGACAGGTATTTGGGAACATAACAGCAGCACAAAGATTTTTTCTGGTTTCTCAGACTACAGCAGATGTGATACTAACACACACCCATCGCTCCACTTTCAAACCTTTTTTTTAATCTTTTGTTTATTAACCTCCACATAACCCATCAACCTTATTAAACAAGGCCATGAACACCCATTTCCTGAACGCGCAGGCACACGGTGCCCAGCTTTACCAGCTCTGCAGAGCCTCCTCAGAGTCTGAAGTCTTCAGATGATTCCGGTACCAAGCCATACTTCTGCCTCAGGATTTCCACCGTAGACGTCAGTGCACTGTGAGGTGAAACAGAACCATCAGAAAAACAGTTTTTAAGGATTAAACTGCATTTTCTGAGAAAGTGCAATCAGCTAGACGCAGTACTGCATTCTGAATCAAGGAGAACATGAACTCCAGAAACTAGTGTTTCACACAGAAACTTCTAGAAAGGGGTCTCCTGGGCTTGGAATCTGGAGCGCTCTTTCAGTATTTCTGAGCGTGCTGGTAATTAAGCTAAACAAGATTAACGTGAATGTTTGGGTGCTGTGGGGAAAGCAGCCAAACACAACCCACCCTAACCTGAAAGCTTCATTCCATTTAAAGTAAAGAAAAAGCTACAGTTCTGTTCATCCAAGAGTGCTCACCAGCCAGGACGAATGATGGCGAATTTCCCCGACACAGACAAGTCAACCACAGTCGACCCCAAACGAGCCTCTGGGCTCTGGGCATCCCCTATTTGGCCTCCATCGATGATCAAGGACAGCTGGGGCCACAGGTCTTGGAATTCCTGAAAAGAGAGATGCGGCTAAGAGTCCTGAAGATGGTTTGTCATCGTGTTTCCACAGACACTACTGGACGTTCTGGTGCCAGGGGAGGTGGTCTCTGGCCTCTGCCCTTCCTCTCTCAGGTCAGCTCACTTTCTTCTCTCATGAACACATCCTGGTTTGATTTCTGAGAACAGATTTATCTCAGACATGCAGGATAGCCACCAGGATTCTCTGGTTGAAGACTACTTAACTGCACCAGAAGCACACAAAAAAAGCTACAAGTCTATCGAGACATTTAAGGGCAAGCACCTGGTGTCCGTCTGATACCATGCCCAGCGTACACCATCATCAGGGTCACAAGCTTTGCAAAAAGACTTCTTCCTGAGTGACAGTTACCAGGCTGCGAGGAGCCGTACAGACAGCAGCAGTCTCACTCCACAGCCATCTCTCCTGCAGCAACTTCCGTCTTCCAGATTTGGCACCCGCTCCAAAAGCTGCGCAGAAGCCCTTAAACATTACTTTTCAACTCTGCCCTCCTTGCTTTTTAAAGTGAGGATCACAGCAAGACAGCTACCCCGCACCACATACCCGCAGGCTGCTTAGTTAACTAGAGATTACAATTTAAAAAAAAATAATAATAGCAGCAGAGAAATCCTTGTTTTATTGCTAAAGTGGCTCCCAAACCTGTGAGCCCAGGGCTCTCTCAGACTACTGCAGTAACATCACTTAGTGGCAAAACCAGTCTTACCGAAACCATCAGCGTGCTCCCCTGACAGCTGATGTTAGCGCTCGTTAGAGCCAGTGGTCCAGAGCAAGCTCGTGCCAGCTCCCTAATGAAGGGGTGGTTCGGCACACGAACACCAACCAGCTACAGGGAAGAAGAGAGCACGGTTTTACACGCAGTAACGGCGCTTTTTAACCTCACGTTGCCCAAGGCCCGCTGACGCTCTGCAGAACGAACGCATC